GACGCGACTCATGCCTTGTTTGCAGTTTAAGGCTCTATTATCGGATGTTAACTATTTTTCTCTCTCTCTCTCTCTTTATCTTGCGTCAACGTCAGTAATCATCACGCTAGAAAGAAATTTTTTAAACTATATTGTATGAACAGTGAGCAGCGTGCTTGTTCTACTCTGTCTATCTCAAGTTCACAAAATTAGATCTAATATATGTGTGTCTATAGAGAGTTGTTGTTTTCCTCTATATCTTGTCTCAAAAGATGTAAAAAGAAAAACATCAGAGTAAGTAGATAAATCATAAAATATGTTCACAGAATTTTTCAAGTTATACATCTGAATTAAGGGATTATGATCATCCATGCCACCTTTAATGTTAAAAAATAATATTGATCATTGAAAGATTTATCGTAGTGTCATCTGACTGCTAATTTATCTTTTTGATCTTAAAAAACATTGTATTCTTATATTCAATAGCTATCAAATAGAAAAATAGCAAATTTTTACTTAACTCTAAAACACAAACACTAACAAATAAGAAATTTTAGTTGTTTCTAAAGAAAGTTGATGGATGTAATAGAATGTAAACTTATTCTATAAAGTACAAAGTCACTCTCAGTATTTTTCTCTATACAATTTTGATGATAAACTTTACACTAGTACTGCTTACTTAATTCATCTAATAAGTGATGTTTATTTTGTATTTTAGATATATTTGTTTGGTAACTTATTGTTGCATCATCGTGATTTTAACAAGAATGTTGTTTTTTAATAGACCATTTTTTTAAAAATACATGCATTATTTATGCATATTTTTTAATGGTAATCAATGTTAATGATATATATTTAACGGTATAAAAAGAGATATTTTATTAATTAACAATTAATTTTTTATTAAACAACAACGAACAATGTACTATTGGTTCGAATGGAAAATAGATCCGTTCGATTTTATATGGATAAAAACAGATCGGATAAAAGTTAAAAATTTAGCAAATATAATCAGGTATATTTTTGTTAGTAATGAAATAAATCATCTTTTTCAAAATATTGAAAATCTCGGTACTTTGTAGGAACAAGTATCATTCTTTAGCGTTTATTTGTCATTTAGATCACTTATTGCATTCACTATTGTTGTGCAAATGTTCATTCGAATTAAATATAGTGTTAAAAAATTCTTTATTTTGTGCTGTCAAGTTAAATTAAAAATGTTTTCTTTTTTATAAATACTTAAACGCAACCACCTACACCAGTGTGAAGAAAAATATATATAAATGTCAGTTGTTAACCGCTAAAAAGGTTCTGTGCGTAACGATGAAGATGTAGGAGAAATTTGTATTCAGATTTAGCGATTAAACAGTGAATGAGAGTTGAAAAGTATGGATTCGCATCAAAACATCAAAAACTATAAAATATTAATATTTCTTTTTAAATTTGAGCAACAAATGTACATAGTTGTATTCATTAAAGATTAGACCTACCTCTCTTTTCTTGTAGAAGTAACCTTGAGCGATAAAAATTTGAGAAGGTCTATAGTCGAATACTCTGTGTCAAATGGCCAATTCGAGTATCTCGGCCTTCGGTTTGATGCTTGGACTGTAATACCATCTGTCAGTTACTTTATAGGAAACCTTTCAAATACGAATGTATAATATGATATTTTATTATGATTTGGCTATGTTTAAAAAGCTTAAATCGAAATTATATCAAGTATAAGAACGGATGAGGATCAGAGAAGAAAATCCGATAGAGACAATAGCTCAGAGATGGACAAATTTAAATGCGAACTTAAGGAAGTTTTTGATGGACTTGATATTGTTTCCTTGCAGATATCGAATCGACTTTGACTTCGGATTTGATTTTGACGTTTAAACTCGATCTCGGTTGAATTTAATAGATTTATTTTATTATCACTTTCCCCGGTGTAGAAAAGTCCAAGCCGTTGAAACTTGGACCGGTCCTATTATCTATGCAGTTCTTCAGACTGCCTTCACGTACCTTTTCCCTCAACTAAATTGAGAATATGTACCTTGAACGCCACCAAAATATTTTGGGAATTCAATTTTTGAAAGTGACATCCCATTCTCTGACTAATCGTCGTCCTGCCCTATTCAAGTTTCAGGGCTTTGACTTTTTTGTAATTTAATTAACTTTGAACTTAGATTTGAAAATTTTCCAGTTCAAATTTTACGTGTCTTTTTCCTCTGTTTTTATTATAAGGGGGTAATCACCTAATATTTATTAAAATGATTAGTACAGCCTTCTATTAAAAACTGCCAAAACAAAAGGCATTAAATGTTATCTCAGAGTCGTTCTATACAAGAACCATTCTAGTTTGTTCGTTTCAGTAGAATTGTCAGTTCAGACGTTCAGACTCCGTAGATTTAAAGAAGAAATGTCGATCGTGATCGACTGAATAGAATGTTGTCATGTTAATATTAATATTATGCAAGTTTTTATTACTTTTCCTTACACATCACCCCCCTTGAGATACCAAAACGGCTGACATCTGCTCTACTTCTCAATCTATGCATTTTCCAAACTCTTATCCACTCAAAGACTCTCGAAACCTCATCCAGTCAAAACAACTTATCGTTAATAACTACTACATCATCTATCAGTCTGACAGTAATTTTCAGTTTAGTTCTTGAGAGGATGTTTCGTCACTTTTCTGTGTAAATTTCTACTGCAGATATAGCCCTTCAGATTAATAACATATTCATCCCGAACAGTTCGTTGTAAATCTGTTCAAGAATAGTTATCAATATGACTAACTAGTTTTCTCCAGACTTTACATCTTTAAACTGACAATCTTTATTGTTGTTTTTTTGCTGTCAAATGATATAATGGATAAACTTTTTTTTATTCTGATATTCTTCGTTTGTCGTTAGATGCTCTTTTTTTCTCACTCTACCGTACTCTATACTTACTTACTGTATACAACTTCCCGTTCTTAAAGTGAGCATGTTAATTAATTAAAAGTATTTTCTCTATTCTATTCAATTTAACTGAGTGAAGTTTTTGACAAGAGACAAAAATTGATTTATATTAAAGTTGATTTGATACAGAATGACGAAGATGTTGATGTTGGTGACGTATGAACGCGCGTGAAGAACATTTAACAATGCCAGTTGTTCAACCAAAGAACTGAAATGATTTCTCTTTCACCTTTCTCATATATCTAAATTACAGCCTACACTTCGTTTCGCTTTACTATTACTATTATTATTACTATTCGAATTTCTGACGTAAGAAAAATATGATGGAATGACGCGTTTGTCATATTTTTCTCTTTTTTATTTTTTTTACATTCCCTCTTAGATCAGACTACACTAATATATTTTTTTCTCAGAAAGTCAAGAGTTCATTGGGCAAAGCGGAGAAAAGAAGGGAAAAAGAAATAGGCTACCATCACCCCGTAAACGTGTTGGTACATTGATGGAAATAAATTTTCTTCAATCTGCGTCATCACTATACACATTTGATCAAAATATCAAAAAAATGTGACATTAAAATAATCGAATGTGTAGGATTATCAAAAAAGAATTATCTGTCAACCACCGTAGAAGAAAAAAATACAGAAAGAATAGTTGCTCTGATATGATAATTGTAGGTTGTTGCGGCGTATTTTCATCTTAATTTTGATTAAATCCATCTGTTTTTCTAGTAGAGGGCAAAACGTTCCATCTGATTCATACATATGAAATGTTTTCAAAGGTGAGACGACAACAATTAAAAAAACTTTAATTCAAATCGATCTTAAGCTTGAATTTCCTTTTTGGTCGTTACACCTTCCATCTTAAATAGGAATGCTGTGAAATCCTACGCCAGGAATTCCGTAGAATTCTTGATTTAAGGCTAGAAAAAATTCTATAAGATTCCTGTAATAGGAATCTTATGCATAAGAATCCTTACAAAATCCTAGGGTAAGATTTTGTGTAGGATTCTTATTTCTTCGTTCTGTATATATTTTCTTTCCTTTTTCTATACGAGAATAAACACCGGCGTGTTTTGCAGTAACTATGATATAAATATAAGTCTACTGTTGAAAATGAAAAATGCTTTTAGGCGGAAATTTTCGCACCGAACACTGTGAGCCATCGAAACTCGCTGGTGTTCGACGATGTGTGAGTCAGTCAAGGGGGAAACAGGTGATTTAATCAGCCCAAAATTAGTCGAAAATCATCCAAAATCAGTTGATTTTCAGTGATTCTCTGTGATTTTTAATGATTTCCAGTCATTTCCGATGACTTTTCATTTGGTGAAAATCGATAAAAATCAATGAAAATCGGAAAAATTCCAAAATCAGCTGTTTCCTCATTGGAGTCCAGTGCTCACAAGTCTTGGGCTTATCGTAGCTCCGAATCACCTGGTTCTGGTTAGCTGGGATCAGAAAATAATTAAACAAATCAAAACAATCAATCTCATAGGATAAATCAGCACAAAATCAGATGAAATTCTACTGCAATCGTACAATAGGATCCTGTAGGATCTTGCAAGATTCTGCAAGATCTGACTACAGGATCCTATAACAATCTTACGGTAGGATTTTTTGGTTTTTGTGGTTTTTCTACAAAGTCCTACAAGATTTTCGTAGGATCTTACAGGATCATATAGAATCCTAAAGCAGAATCTTGTAAGAATCTTGTAGGATCTACGGTAAGATTGTGTGACCTGGGAACGTTTTGAAAAACTCAAATGAATAGTGAATTACTAGAAATAAGGACGAATTTTAGATATGCTGGAAATTCTATGATGATCTGTGTAGTTCTAGTTATCGAAAAAAATCATTCACTGGTGAGTATGATAATTAGTACAGTAGACCTATCTTATTTATAATAGAAAAGTTCGATCTACGACTTTAGAATTAATTCTCACTAGTAGTGAATAACATTTTACAAAAAGTTTCACTGTACATCGTTCGCCATTTTTCTCATGCAATGAATCTTGTTAAAACAACGTATTAATATGTTATTTCTAGCCAAAACCAATAGTATAAAACAACAGCAACAATGTCATCGTTAACATCACAGATAAATATTGCAGAGGAAAGTAGTAGTAGTAGCAGTACAGGCAATAACACTAATACAATAGCCCTCATTCCAAATAGTGCTAGTGTGATAACAACAGCTCCATTTCAACGTACAATGATAAAACGGAGTCAAGCAATTCCGAATATACAAGATATGGATGAAAATAGTCCAGGTAATGTTGTTTTATATCAATGTTGATATTAATGTTAATATTTCTTTATTTTTAGTCACATTTGAAATAGAATTAGAACATCATAGGAAAAAACAAATGAATAATGAACTCCAGAATCGCACAATTTGTCCTGATGATGAATCGGATAATCGATCAGAAAGCAGTGAAAAACTACCAGAATATATTGAAGAAGAAAAACCAGTTGTCTCTGGAATTAATGTTAAAGCAGCTACAATTAATCGATTATTAAGGATATTAATCGACTCATTTAGTATGTACTACTAGATATCACGTGAGATCAAAAGTTAATTTTGTTGATTTTTAGATCCAAATGGTTCAACGGTAGACGATAGTGAATTTCCAAAAGTTTTCTTCTTGATGCACAAATGGATCATGGAATCGGAACAATTAGGAAATATGCTGTACGATCTGTATAAGAATTATGGTGATGAATGTAAAAAATCAACGGGTTCATTCGAAAAACGACAATGTAAAGATTATCAATTGAGGATATGTCATTCGTACAGGTAAGATTTCAACAATAATAGTTATTTTCCTAGTATAACTTCATATGTTCATTTTTTGGCAGGTATTGGATAAAAAATTTTCCATTTCATTTCGATCTTGATCGACATTTGAAAGAAACAGCTGAAAAAATGAAAATATTAATACAATCAACAGGAAATTCAGAATGTATAAAACTCGTCGATATTTCACAAATGTAATTAATACAATCTATAAATTTGTATACATATAAAATTATCATTATTTTGTTTAGACCATCATTTGAATGGATGCGTAAAATGACAGTGCGAAATCAACCAAAAACCAGTAAAATTGTATCACTTGGTTTTAATAATATTGAATCTCAAACATTAGCAGCACAATTAACATATCTTGAATGGAAAACTCTAAGAAGAATTACTGTATGTACTTTGAATTTATTATTTAATCATTTGATAACGATAATTTATTATTTTTTCTTAGTTTACTGATTATAAGATGTATGCTATGAAAGCGACATTACAAGATAATCCAAAACTCGAGCGATCAATACAATTTTTTAATGGTTTATCAACATGGATTATGTGTATGGTATTGTCTAAAACAACTGCGAAACAACGGGCTGAAATCATACATAAAGTAAGTTTTACTCTTAACTGTGACACATAGTTGTCTCATTTTTTTTTTGTATCCATTTCTATATGGCTCCTTTTGATAAACTTTTTATTTTTTTTTTCAGTTTTTGGATGTAGCCAAGGTAAGTTCAATATAATTTCAACCTTCATTTTTCCACATGTCTTTTTTTTTTGTTACAGTATTTAAAAGAATTGCAAAATTTTAACACATTTATGGCTGTTATTGGAGGTATAAGTCATAGTTCACTTGCACGTCTTTCAAAAACAATGGTCTGTTTATCACAAGAAGATCATAAAGTAATGGAATAAGTTGAAATATATAAACTTAATACACGATTAGCTAAATCTTTGTTATGCATTTTTTTTTACTAGCTGTTAAGCGAAATGACAGAATTACTTGCGTCGAATTGCAATTATGCACAATATCGAAAAGCACTTAGTGAATGCGATGGATTTAAAATTCCAATTATGTAAGTGTTATAGATTTAACTAATTTTTCTTTTATAACTTTATGGTGTATGTGTGTGTTTTTTTCCATAGCGGTGTTCATTTAAAAGATATTATATCATTACATGTTGCACTAGCTGATAAACTCGAATATGATTTAATTAATTTTCGTAAAATTGCACAATTAAGTTTAGTATTTAAAACATTAACAAATTTACAAACAACAAGTCCACCCGTCGTACCGAATCATGATTTAATCAATCTTTTAACGGTATATAAAATGAACAAGATGATTGAATTATTCAAATATGTTCGTTTTCTTTTTCAGCTTTCGCTTGATTTAAGTTATACAGAAGATGAAATCTATGAATTATCATTAGCTAGAGAACCACGATCATCTGTTTCATCGGTAAGAACATCTTACTTGAAATAAATCCAGGGGGAAAAGTCTTGTTTGTCATAGTACCGGTTAACACTTTTCAGCGCGTAACCCTTTAAAGCCCAACGTCCATTTGAATGGGCATTGGCATTATCATTATAATAAACTGAGGAAGCATTGTTATGCTAGCCAAAATATTTAAATTATAAAATGAAGACTATGTTCGAAAAAGTTTAATTTTTAAATTTGATTTTATTAGGCACATTAGAGAAAGCTTCTTATTCAATAACTTTTCAAAAATATGTAGGGAGGTGTACTCTTTCAAATTATGTTAGCTGAAGAAATTACTGTGTAAATTGTAGGCCGCTGATGATACAAAATGAAAGGTCATATCTTACTGAGATTTCAGACTCGTTTACTTGGTCTTTCTTGATTTTCTTCACTATCTGATCTCATTTTCTGTCTCAACTTTCTCATACTTAATGAACTAAACTTAGATATGTTTGGTCTTTGGTTTCTAACTGGAATTTTGGAAAAAATAGTTTTTCTTCAAATTTTGATTTTAAATTTAAAAGCTTTTTTTACGTTTTTAAAAACAAAAAGTAATTCTTTTTTGAACGTGAGAAGATCATATCGAGGTTTCATATGCAGAGCTGTCGCGACCAGTCAGACTTTAGGGGAGGGTAGTGCTCTATTGAGACAAGATTTTTTTTTTCAGTGAACGCAAGAAAAGTTTCTTTTCTGCTAGAAAAAATCGAGGATTTTTAATTTTGGGAGGGATATCGCACACACACCCCCTCCCACTCCCCCAGTAACGGCAGCCCTGTTGATATGTTCCATTTTCATAAGCGGCTGACGCAAAACTAAGCATTAAAGTCTTGGGGACTTAAAGAGTTAAACTAGCTAGCATTACGCACGGATCTCATCTTCCTTAAAATAAACTCATTTAAGATTTAATTTAATTTTCTTTCTGTAGCCAACGACACCAACAAAATGTCCCGTTTTTGCTGATTGGGCAGCTGGCGTCTCTAGTCCACTAGATATTCAAACAATTCAAAAACACGTTAATGCGATGGTCGAAGCGGTATTTACAAATTATGATCATGATCGAGATGGTTATATATCACATACAGAATTCGATGAAATTGCACAAAATTTTCCGTTCATCGACACATTCACTGTTCTTGATGCCGATCAGTAAGTTATACGACCAATTTCAAATTATTTATCTATATAAAAAATATCGATTTTGTCAATTTAGAGATGGAATGATTTCCAAGGGAGAAATGCGTAGTTATTTTTTGCGAGCAAAATATCACGATTTAAAAGGAGAATTCAAACATGATTTTCATGAGACAACTTATTTTAAACCAACATTTTGTACACATTGTACTGGTCTGGTAAGAGAGAAAAAAATGAAGAAAGATTATAGTACATTTCTTCTCTTCTTGTTCATAGCTATGGGGCTTGATAAAACAAGGATGGAAATGTAAAGGTAAGTAATCCTTCAAGATCAGTGTTTGATGAAATCGACAATTACTATTTTTAGATTGCGGTATCAATGCTCATCGCCATTGTAAAGACATGGTAGTAATGGAATGTCGTCCAAAACGAACACAATCTGTTCATAAACAAGGATCGGGTTAGTAAAGGTGATGTGTATAAAAAATTGAATAATGTATCTTGTCATTTTAATTTTAGTCTCTGATTCTCGTCCAAGTCGTAGTTCGTTTAGAATACGTAAAACACGTAAACAAAAAGCAACACAAACCGATGATCTCGATTTTTCGTCATCATCAGAAACATCCGAGAGCTGTACGACAAGTAGCGATGAAGAACAACAACAACCAGCAGAGAAAATGCCATCATCTAGTCATTACTGGCATTTAAGAAAGCCAACATCATTCAAACGTCGTAAACAACTATTGTCAGATAGTAACGAAGAATATTACTACACTCATCCAACATCTCCATTACAACCACAACCATCAGCATCAGCATCCCAACAGTTAATTCCACGTGGACCTCTAATATGTTCTGATAGTTTTGATAAATGGAGTGATTCACGATTCCCCTTTAGACAACAGCAACAAACATCACTAGCAACATCCACTGTGTCAACATCGACCACAGCATCAGATTCCATTACAATAAGCACAATGACAACAACAACAGGATCAATTAAAAATGAGCAGGAAGAAGAAGAGGAGCTTGTAGGCGAAATAGAAGAAGAACAAAAGGAAAGTGACGACGAATGTAGAACGAAAAGAAAAACATCAAGAACTTCGTGTAGAAATGTAGCGTTGTTGACATCACCGCAATTCGATACAAACGAAAGTATAACTAAAAATACGTTTTGTACAAATAAATCGATGAATTATGGTAGTAGTCAAGATGTATTTAGAAAATTAAATTTAACCGATTCGTTACACTCCTTACCAACAACATCGACTGACTCAACAACACAACAAGAAATATTTGAACGTTTAAGACATGCTGAAGAAGTAAGTTTATTAAGAAGCGAACAAAGAAACTTACATTACTTAAATTTAGAGAGTTACTGTTTTACAAGTGTCTATCTTTTGCTGTTCTCTAAGGCTCTGTCTAGCATAGTTACATCTTTTTCTTCTAGGAAAAGAAACGTTTAGAAGTAGAAAATGCCGCAATGAAACAAGAACTTGTCCGAACAAAATCTAAAATTAGTTCACTAAAACGAGAAATGAGCTCGATACAACAGTTACATTTACAACAGCAACAGCATGTACAACAGCAAACTCCAACATCATCTCAGCATGAAAATGATCAAACAGACGTACTGATCATCGATAAAAACAATCCATCATACATATCACAACAACAACAACTACAAGCTGCGAAAGAGTCTCTATGTACTCTTCAGATAAAAAAGCACACCGATATATCTAGCGCATTAACAAAAACGTCCACACAAAAATCATCGATACCAAGTAAGGAAAGTAATGAAACGTCGCTATCTAACGAACAAAGATCATCTCCGATTGAATCAGAACAATCACAAACGACTACTATTTCCAATTTAAAATCCGTACAATCTCCACAAGAACAACAATCACATTATTATTATAGTTATCCAAGTGCTTCGGCAACCATAACACCGTTTTTTTCGATAACACAATCATCTCGTTCAAGCATTTCTTATCTTCCTACACCAGCACCAGAGCAACAGTACATAGTGCCTTCACTATCATCGTCGCCCTTGTCTACAAACGATTCTGCACGTTCTCTTGCTTCAGTTACACTTGCAAGTGACGAGCAACATATTGTCTCAAGCGACGATAATACTGATATCACTAACGATAATCAACAAACAGAACAATTAAGATTATATTTAACCGAAACATTACAACGAGAAAAAGATAGCGCAGTTTAGCCCGAGTCAATTGTATCTTCCACAACGAAACATATGTGTGTGTATATGTACACGTGTGTCGAGAAAACTGAGAAGAATCTGATGCTTCTTTCCAGTTTTCTTGTCAATAGTGTGTGTTTTGTATATTATTTTATTTATTTTTTCTCAAGTACAACATCTTTATGTTTGAATATCTTCTGCTAGTCATTTTTATTTGCTCATATGTGTTTAAAAACGCTGGACGTTTTCGTGTTTTTCCATCATCGCGTGGTGCAACATACATACACATATACAAATACAGAATCGAACATTCATATCATGAATTATTCGAGTCAAAATAAGTCGACATAAATTGTATCAGTTAAAAATTTTGTTTTTTTAAAACTAGATTACTATTTTTGTTGTCTAAATCTTTATATTTTATTTTAACTTTCAATGCTGGACATTCCTCTAGTCTTTTTTTTTTATATAAAATATGAACGTAAACAAAAAGCCAAACAAGTCATTGAATACTGTTATAACCAGCATCTGTGAAATTTTTAGGCTAGCAAGGCCTTATAATGCAAGTTCATTTCACCTCTAAACGTTACAGCACACAATAATATTTATCAATTTTGTAATTAACTCAGTAATTAATCTTTCTTTAGTTGAAATATGATCTTTAACAATGCAAAGACATCACTATTCGATTAATTTCTTTCTGTAACAAAACATTCACAAATAGTAAAAAAAAATAACAGTAACAATTTACAACAACAAAAACAACAATCATGTCGACTGTAATGGGTTTCCATCAATTTCATTTAAAAGATGTTCACATTTATCCATTAGAAGTTTAATTGACTCAACAAATAGCATGTTTGGTTTTACCGCGCCAACGCTTTCAATACTAACTAAAAGAAGGATTTTTTAGTGTAATGATGAGGTAGAAAAGAAATACTCACAAATGAAATGATCTCTAATTTTGTTTAACTGTATTCGGTCTTTTAATTCTGGATAGCGTAATGCTTCTCGACTACACAGATCTAAACGAGGTTTTGAGACGACTGCACGGCGTTGACCTAAAGAAAAATAGAATAGAAATATTTGAGAGGAAGAAAAGAGGTAACAACATAGAACATTGTTTACACATTTTATTGCTTAAAATTAATAAGACATTTTTAGAGTTAATAGAAAACATAGAGAAGAAAAACGTGTGAGTAGGTCTATATAGTTTATTTTATTTTATTATCCACAGAATCAGGATTGCCAGAAGTCCCACTTTTAATGAGTGATCCCATCTAAAGATGTGTCTTACTGTGCGCCATACATTTTAACAATTTGGTCCACTTTTCGTCAAAAAGTAAAACAATTGTAGTTAACGAGAACAGTATACATGCCTTTATTCTGCAACTCTAGTTAGTTTACTTCTAAACAGTGAAATTTGCAAGAACTATATGAATACGATAGTTTTCTTGTGATAGTGTTTATTTTTGTACAGTAGCGTGCGCGGGTTTTTGAGTGCAGTTTACTATGGTGAAGGAGTTTTGTTTATTTTTAAACTTCGTTCACAAACAAAAGTCGTTCTTAACAACCCTATCAAGAATGTACTTTTTAAACTTGGAAAGAGTCATCTAAACAGACGAGGACTCATTTGCGGCTTTTGTTCACAAAACACAAAAAGGAAGAGAAGAATTCTGCCGGATTTGGCAGCCTGTGAATTATGTTTATGCAGTCTGCCGAATCAAGTTGATCTCTAGGTGATTCGATTAACATTCGAAAAAAAACAGTCACTGTAGAGAAATGAGGACTGGAGACTCGAAATATACGCACATAGTCTGCAATTTACTTGATTTTCTTTGAGAATTTTCATCCCAAAATGTGGCACTATTATAAGTACACCATATACACTGCCTTATACTAATTTCTTTGTTTTACTTCATCATTTAAAAAATGTGACAAGCCATCTATAAAGTATTTTCGCTGACTCGACGAACTTTTCATGTTTTGATATGGGGAGAAAAAAAGATATTGAATGTTTTTCACAAAAGCTCAATTATATAAACTCAATTTTCTAATGCAGATAATCGAAAAATTTTCAGATAAAAACACCAAGTTTTTGAATGTATATATATACAAATAGAGTAATTCTGTTCATAGATTCGTGTATAACAACATTATTTGACAAAAGCAATTGTAAAACAAATTTATTCAGCGCAAAAAAAAGGTGATTTTAAAATATCAAAACTTTTTTTAGTTTGTTTCTATTCTTTTTTCGTTCGCAATGAATCTTTTTCTACTTTTTTTTAGAATGGAACGGAAATATAGAAAAATAAAAGCCGTTTAAAATTTCTATCTTTTTATCCAAACATCTTCTATCGTCATACAATGGGATCACTTGCATCATTTAACTATCCGTTTCTAAATCTTCATCGATCTCCTAATTTTTATGCTCTCTTGAATTTTTGGCACTGAGAAGTGCTGTTCAACACTGGCGGCTGTTGTTAATGTAGTGGTGGTTTTTCCTCTTAAGTTTAAGTAATAGAACACAGTTAGCTTTTCCACTTCAGCTCGATATACACTTAATATTAGACATTTGATGAAATTCGGCGGTTAGAGCGATGTTTGGAGAAATGATTATCAGAAAACGATTTTTTTGCACACTAGTAATTCCATACCATTTTTCTGTTCTTTTATTTCAATAACTCCACTTGTGAAACATTGTTGTAATTTGTCTGCATCTTCATTTTCAATTGGTTCTTTTAAAATAATTTCTGGCATTAAACGATAAGAAGCCGTGCCTAAAACGTAGAAATAATTTTTAATGTTTTTCTCTTTTCTCAAAGAATAATTTGACTCATTCATACAAACAGGTGAAAATTTTGCATGATCACGTCCAATTCCTTTAACGCAAACAAGTTTAAGATCAAGCTCCTTAAATTAAAATGAAATTATATTCCATTATAGCCCAAGAAGATTTGTTTCATACTTGTCCTGGCCGCAGTTTTACAATTAATATGTCATTTGCTACTGGTCCAACATCATTCGCTGTGTACTAAATAAAATAAACTCTAAAATCAATATCGTTTTATATCATGCGAAAATATTTATTCTATTTATTTAGGCAACATTAACAGGATATAACGTTTCAGAAAAAAATACTCTACGAGTGAGTTTTCAGAAAAAATCATAAAATGAAATGCTTTCATGTAATGCAACAGTTACCTTAGTTGCTTGATTACCAATAGGAATCCATTCCATGTGTTCTGTATAAACTGTACACAAATAAAAACAACACGACAAAAGTGAACTCAAACGCAAGACGTTTATACTATCAAGACAGACCGTTACTATTGATGTATAAATTTTTTGGTTCTATATTATTTTCTATTGCTTTTGGATTTTTTTTACAAATAATTTTTAATTTGAATACTAATGTATTATCTTCATGGTCTTTTGTATCACCCGGTTGTCTATACTCAAAATTTCTTGCATCCGCTTTCAACGGTATCAGTCCAAGCCGATGTGCTAAAACGTCATCGGGCAATACGGACGAATTTTCATGAATATGAACTTTTTCAATAGCCATTGATGCTAATTCAGCTATGAGTATACGTCGAAATGCATTAGCAAGGGCGGCGTCAATACCGATCATGTCAAATTCTGTTGAATCATCATCTAATTTTGCGATGTTAATAGTCAAATTCTAAATGTAAAAGAAATATTAACTCTGAACTCTAGAGAAGTCAAAATAAGAAGATAAAAATACACACATCTCGAAAACTGTCTAAATTCAATTGATCGTCATATCCAGGATAATTGCCAGGAAAATTTGTTGAAGTTGTCTAAAAACAAAGTATTTTTAACATCTATGAGACCTGTTGTTTTTTACATACATTTGAAACTTCGGTTTCTTCCAGTTTGACACGCGAACGAATTTCATCTAAGGAACTCATCTGTAAAGAATCAAGCGCATTTATCAGCATATTAGACGATTCTATTTAGCTAAATAGTTTCCATTCTTAGTGGATATGATATTGTGAGAGCCTTTTATCTTAATAAATTTTGACTATAACACGAAAACGTGCAGTTTAATGAAAAACAAAAGGAGAGAGAAAAATACAAGACCGTCTTAGTAGTAAAAATAGTAGATCGTCTTCGATTAATCTTTCGCAGTGGTTTAACGAATTTCTAATTTTTGCATTTTCAAACAAAGCTGAAACTTCAGGAAAACAGCAGATTTTCTTGCCCAATCGAACTCTACGTCAAACTGTCCTTTCTCATACTTTGCTTTCAAGTTGCCATAATCGAACAGTTTCAGTTCTACAATATAAACTGGAAGTGGTACCTACCCACTTAGATCAAGTATTGTCATAAACTGACACAATGAACCGCACAACGCAAATATGTGCAAGAATTAAAAAAGTAAATAATAGATATGGTATCATTTGTTGTTAAATTTTTGCTAATTCAGTCGATATATTGTTTTGGTTGTACACACTGTAATAAAAAGTAACGGAAAAAATGCAAAAAACGCACAGGAAAGCGCTTCATCATAAAAAATGATGCAACATTTTTTCTGTAACTTTATATATGTTGCCTTAACGTTTTTTCTGTAGAGTAACGATATGTCCGGATGGATTCTGCTAACATAACATTTTTACCATAACATCACTTCGCTTTGCCGTGACGAGATTTTCCATTGGATAAAACTGACCAATAGGATAAAAGTAATGTTGCATCTTTACTGTAATATGTTGTTCATGTAATGATCTGAAGTATTCACTGACCCTGTGCAGAAAAAACACGAGTACAAGCTTTTCCGCTTATTATACTCTAATGCCAAATTTTTACGATAATGAGAATTTAATAGCTTCCACTGTTTCTGGTCAAACACAATTATAATTGAAGAAAATGATGATCGTTTTTTAAATTTAACGCAAAATGAAGATTATAAGGGTAAGATTTTGCGCATCTGAAGTGGAATATTAATTTTTATGTTAATACACTTATTGTAGATAAAAATTCGGAACAAAAAAATGATGTAGACGAAGATGAACGCGATTATGAAATAAGTCAACGTGGACGAAAACATCGCCCACGGTTGAAAATTCAAATTCAGAACAGTGATGATGAAAAAACTACGATGATGATTCAAGCGACACTGATTATGATCTGAATGAAAGTAGAGGACAAAGGAGTAATAATATTCAAATTGATTTAAAATTACCGAATAGTATTAAAAAATTATCAAACAATAGATGTAGAACAACAACAACAATAATAAATAAAAAAGATCGGAGAGATTTAACAAGAGTGGTATGTAAGCATTCGTACCATAAGAGAATATTGTGCGAAAGTTTCTCTTACGGCAATCATCTAGATTGCAGGCTTCGTAAACATTCTACTTTTCATTAAGAGGGAGGGGGGCGGATCTCCATAAAAGATACTGTTAAACCTTCGAGTTATAAATTAATTAAGATAAAAGTTTAGCAAAAAAGTTAATGGCTGGGCCTTTCTTTAAAAACTTAACTGTTTAATCAAAACTAATTATACGAATATGATTCTAGTGTACTTTGATCGCGAATCATTTTTAGTTATGATTACATTTAAGATATTTTAGAAAAAGCTGTGCTGGGATATAGATTATTCATTAATTAATCCTAATTAACGCCGACTATGGACAGTTCAGCGATTTACATTTTTATTTGCAAATCAACAATTGTTTGAAAATAATCACACGATACATCATTCGAATTAGATTTTCAAGCGCTACAAAACTGTATATTTGCTTTTCAAAAGAATAAGATTTTGACTGAATTGTGAATTTTTTAATTTTTGACGACAATAGTCCAAAATGGATTATTCACCTAGTACAGGTTTTCACTTCGTTCTTGCACTTTCTTCTTAAAATTAACATTGCCATGAGATTCAGCATGTTCGATAATCTATGTTTTCATGATTTCAGAAGGTGTCAGAACGAAGCATAGAGCAGTCTCATGGCTCAGGAAAAACCTCCAGAGCTCCTGAACAAAGCAAAGGGAAACCTTTGTTTAGATCTTATTTTGTAGAAGACACTTTAAATTATCTATCAATGAAAAAAAATCGATTGCTTGCAATGTAAGATGTTTAATCTAGAAATTGGTTTTTCAGAGACCCTCTGAAAGACCGATTTTAGAAATTTGTTCAAAAAACGTTTTTGCTTATGAAAATATAGGTTAAACTGTCCTCATTCGATTGCAGAAAATCGCTAGTCTCTACCTTTTATCCTCTTCGAGTTATTCAGAAAACAACTTTCGATCTTATATCTTGGGGCGGACAGTAATATTTTTTATTGGGACAGTGGTGAATAATTGTGAGAGATTTCTCTCTGCCGTTTCTAGAAGAAGTTTTGGAAGTTTAAACGGATTCTAAAGTGAAGTGTGGAACATTTCTGATAATTCTAGACGATCTGCTCTCAAAACCATTTTGGGCCATTTTCTTATAGAGACTGTTCCTGTCCTTTTACTTAAATAATTGATATAATTTCAACAACACTTATTACCACATTAGAGAAATTTCTTCACAATTTACTTAGTTCCTTCTGAACGGTGTCATACCACTTTATCTATATTGTTAAAAAACTCATTGTTTAACAACTATTATCATCATTATGCTGCCGTATTGTTTCCTAATTAATGGACAATACCCTTAAATAAAATGCTCGTCTTATAATTGATCGCAAATAGTGAAAGACTTGTTATTTACAACAAAACAAAGTTCTTGTATATTTAATCTTATAAATTAGGGACTAGTAATTTAAATGTTAAGTTATATTGCTAGATATGTCTCTTCGGTAATAGTGAATGAGCCTGCTGCCTGGTAAAATACAAATGTAATGTAATCCAAAACACACCCATAATGTGCTTTGTATATTGATAAATGACCCAGGTAGACGAAAACTGGCATTTAATTGTCCATTAACAGCCTGTTAACTGTATGCCAAAACATGGCCTGTTAATTGTATAAAAATCGACTGAAAACTGGCATTTAACAGCCGTTATAATGACTTATTTTTTACTTTGAAATAACGGTGAAAATAATGCCAGATTATAGGCAATGACCGGAAAAATGTCATTTTACGGACACCATTAAATGGAATTTTCGTCCATTTATTAGATCGCGTTGGCTAATGCCAAATAAATGTGCTTGTCATATGTCCGTTTTGAGGCAGTTTTTACTCCATTTCAAAATGGCAAAAAACTGATTATAGATTGGTATTTAACAGCCAGTTTAGGGTCACCAAGTCATTCATCGTTTTATTCTGTCGTCATGACTAGTATGCATGTCTCTGATTTTCCTAAAATAATTTAGAGTTTATCTCTTCTTCAATTATACGAGTCATCAAAATTTACCTCGAAGAAGTGGTCTGTGGTTTTTGGATCACTGCAGGTGATAGTACCTTAGGTTTCAGAAAATATTTTTTTCACATTTTCTAACGATCTAAAAATTGATATTTAAATAGCAAAAAAATGTGACCAGCATGGCTACTGGCAGCAGTTAAATGCCTGTTATTTGACCGTTTTTTGACATTTAAAAAATGCGAAATAAATGCATTTAAACGTTCCCAGTTATAATGGCAAAAAACGGCCTAAAAACGGAGTCAAATGTCATAAAAATTCCATTTAAATACTTATCAATAGCGTATTAAATGGCATTTAATTGGCAATTAATTACACCGTTTTCGACGTCCTGGGAAGTTGAACGGAAGCTTAACGTTTTGTTTATAGGAAAAGAATCTTTCGCTCTCTACTGGAAAAACTGAATGAATTATCCGATGGAAGAAAAAAGAACACTGCATAGCAGCATTATTTAACAATCTTGTTTGTCCCAGGGCACTTTGTTGGACGATGAATGGAACACTTTGAAAAGTACCTCCACTATGGGACACTTTTGGAACCACTGTCAACGTGAAAACTGAAAAACAGTGCACCGTCGTAAGACACTTTTCAAAGTATCTCATTCATCGCCCAGAAACATGCCCTGGGGCACTTTTTTTTACAGTGTGAGGGCGTACTGTTCATAGATTAGAATTACTATACTGTTTTGAGCGTTACAAGTAACATCAGACAGAGCAGTTTTTCAGAGCACTTGGGGCAATGCTTAGAACAAAATTTTTAAGGAAGGAGAGAAAAATTTACAAAACCAAAAAAAAAGATTGCACGAGTGTATACTATACTTACAAAACTGTAAAAGTACTTTATAATCCTAATTTTCATAATTTTAGAGCTTAACAGTTTCAGAACTTTAGAATCTTAAAATTTTTAGTTTTAGAACGTTGGAAAATCTTCCTCGAGTGTTCATTTACGATAATGCGTGTTCCTTTCATATCTATTTTAAAAATCGATGCAAGGTGAAGAAAACAATCAAACAAATAAAATATAGTGATTTCATCGATCAATCCCAACTATTAATTGATTGAATGCACCAAAAGAATCGCACGAAACATTGATCAAAACCCGGAATCTAGCAGCGTCAGTACTAAAATCTGTAATCAATCACGTGCATGGCTAAAACACATTAATGCTCTGTCATCCTACGTTCAACAGTTTTTTATTTTAACCATATTTTATTCTTCATTTCTCCTTTACTTTGAATCAGATTGTACCTGACAAAAAGAAAAAAGAAATTAAATTTATTCAAAGTTCTAAACTTCTAAAACTCTGAAGTTTTGTGAAATGACGCCATGTCATTTCACATTAAGATTTATCACCTTATTCAGACACCTCTATAGTGTTTCTTCCATAGCACTGTTTTATCCATTTTCATGAAAGATTTCTATAGCCTTCAGCATACCTAATTTCCTCGGACATTTAAAGATCAATTCAGGATATACTAAATAATCTTTTGGACACTCCTATGGAGTAGTGATTCTTTGATCACACACTCATTTTTCGGCAATATATAGAGAAGTATCCGAAGGCTCTGTTGCGAAAGAAAAAAAATTGCTTCCTTCCTTAAGAAATCATATCTGGTCAACATCCAGTGACTGACCCCAAAAAGCTATTCTTATAACAAGTGTTTCAAAACAAGGAAAGCTCATTGTAATGAATATCGTAACCTCGTAGTTCAAAATATTTTCGCTAAAATCGTTTTTTTAAATGACTAATTAACGTACATCAGCAATGGTTGTCTCTAGAAAGAGAAAATCGCGTAAGATACCTAAATATTAGTGTCAACGTGAAACGATATGTGCCACCCGAACTGAGTAAATCCACATTTCACTTACGAAAACGACACACGTTACGTTTGATAATATAGATTTACTCGAAAACGAACACACGCAAGAGTTATTGAATAATCAAGACCTAAGTGTATAAGGATGTTGCGCCACCCATGTTATATTCGGACGACTATGTGGACTTGTATGAAGAGTATGATGAAGCAAATCTTGTAACGCATTATCTCGCGTTGTGTGCATCCCCGGAGGTGGAGCAGAGGCGTAACCGCTATGATAACGAGGCGGCTGTCCATAAGTCATATAATATAATATTGCTCCCATGCTCCAGATATCTGCCTTCGGGGAATAATGTCTATATACACCGTATTCCTCTTGCATCACTTCGGGAGCACTAAAGTTTAGAAGAAACGTCGGGTAAAGAAAATATTTCATAACCACTGAATTGTTCTACAGACCTAAAATATGGCGTTCCAATTCCGCCAGCACTGAAAAGAAACAAAAATTGAATATTGATTCTATTGCAGAGGAAGTGTATACTACATAGATGTAAGGATATACAATCTTTCTATGTATTCTGATTTTTATTGAGTATATTTACCCTAACATATCTGATTTTCTTGATATCCCAAGGTCACATATTTTTAGTGTACGACCAAATACTATTAGATTTTCTGGTTTCAAATCCATATGAACCTGAAGAGAAAAAAAATATTTTACATCATAAAAATTTTATCCATTTCTCTTTATATGATAATAATAACAGGAATATAATAATTCAGTCAGAAGATAGACTTTTCTGCCTGTTTATTCTGATGATACATACGATGAAGAAACTGACTAGGTTATCAATTTTGCTGTGATTTAATATTTTATTATGATAAGACGAAATTTGATTGGAAGATACGTACAATGTTGTGCTGATGCAAAGTTCCCATGACGCTAACTATTTGACGCCAAATTAGCTTTCGTTCGACAGGACGAATATAATCTGATCCAGGCATTCGTGACCGTTTAATCTGGTGTAACCTATCGATGAGTGTACGAAGATTATCTCCACCCAGTTCCATAACCATATAGGCTAGAATTGAGAAGGAAAAACTTAGTAATGTTTGTTAGTTTTGAAATTGATAAATTTATATTGCCTCTGCCGGAATTTTTGTCAAAATCAAAATCGAAAATTTTAACAACATGTCGGGATTCTTGTCTTAGTCTATTCATCATTTCAATTTCGTTAAGATATGATTCGACTAACTGCATGCCAATCTCCGGCTCTTGATTAATATTAATAACTTTAATGGCCACTTGCGCTCCATTTGGTGCTCTCGCTCGATAAACCGTTCCTAAAAATGACACGAAATAATGCATCAGTAACGCTGGAGAGAACACTTTAATACTCACCAAAGCCTCCACTACCAAGACGATTTTTAAATGTGTAGGGATTTCCATGTATGGGAATTATTTGATGTTCGATAGTAGTGTGATGGTGTCGATGATAGCCGCTTCCTCCACCTATAATACAAGGTGTAGAAATAGTTAGATCGTGCATACAGCCAGAATTCGCGATATATCAAACGGACACCGTTTCAACACACAAAGTTGACCTAAGTTTATTGAGTGTTTGTCTAGTATCGCTTAACTATTAAAATTATAATTGTGTAGGACTTAGACATTTTTTAGCAAAATTGTACGATAGCAAAAATATTTGTGTATAATTCCATCTTTTTGAAACTGAGAGAAAATAGAGCATATATGATCTGCAATACATTGTAAAAAAAGTATTCTCGAAAATCTTGAAAGGGTTTTCGAAACTGTTACTATATGGTACCCTTTGGATTTTTCGAAGGCACCTGTTGAAGGGGTCGTTTTCGAGATTTCGAAAACGTTTTTCCTGTTCGAACCTTCTACTGTCTTAACACTCTTTTTAATTCCGTGGAATCTTTTTCTCGAATAGCCTACAAATGATTTTTTGGAAGGGTATTCAAACTAAGGGGGAAACAGCGGCTCTGGAAGCTTTCCGGAGCCCCTGAAATGTTTTCCGAAGCTTGAGATGCTCAGCATCCGATGCAGAGCGATGCTCTCTGATACTAAGAAAGAAAAAAGTTGCTTTTTCCCCCTTGATTCAAACGCTCGAATACTCAAGAAGGCACCCAAATAGTAACATTTTCAAAAACCTTTAAAAAAAGGTTTTTGAAGGTTGTAATACCTTTTCGAGAATCTTTTCAAGATTAGTTTCCAAAAAAAATTCTAAGTAACCAGTTATTTCTGCTGCAATGGACTCTCGATTTTCCTGATGAAATTACTCAACGTTCAAATCAGAAACGAAAAACATGTCTTTTTGGAACAAGTTAACCACAACCCAAAACGGTATTTTCTAAAACAAAATAGTTCAAATACGGAAAAAAGAGTTTGAAAGGATTTTTGAAACGTTTAGAGTTTACTAAAATACGTTTTTTAGAGTGTATGGGTACTTGTGATGTTGTAAAGTAAAGCAGAGATGAAAGTTAAACAATTATTTTTGCTCTTTCTCGTGAACCATAGAAGGTACAATCAAGCTGATATAAGAACAGATTCGTGTAGCGCTGACGTTGATGTATATATATGCATTATCGAAAAAACTTTAATTTAACTGTAAGCCGTTTCGAAAAAGAGTTTTTAAAAAGCTTACGATCTCTAAAAAATTCTGCTGGTTTTTCTTATTTAGTTTCATTAGCGACCTTCAAGAGCTAATGATTGTCTTTTCTCAAAAACAGCGTTCAGGGATTTTTACGAAGTATTTTTCCTGGAAGAGTATAGAGAATAACAGTGGTGGGTTTAACTATGGTAAAAATTTACATCTATTGTAAAATTTACTGAATGTAGTAACTACATACTCAGCATTTCGAGAGTCTTGTGAAGATTCATGAGAGAGCTCTAAAGTAGTACTGCACAGAAGTATAAAAATTAATATTAGCCCTTATTTATCTTGTAAATTCACTAGAAATGTCTGTGGAAGCAAAAACTATAGGAGCTTGTGTCATGAATTCAAATCTATGATTGACATAATAGACAAAAAAATTTCTACCTTTAGGGGCGTAAAATATTTGTTTTTTGCATTGGTGGCGCACAGCGGTGTATTTTACATGTAATATATATACTTGTAGCAGTTCAAACTGAGCAGTTTGGATAGATCGTTTTTATCATCAATTTTCTGCAGTATATATATATTGCAGTCAGCGCTCATTTAGTTGTAAGTAGTAGTTTTGTTTCCTTACGTACTTAATCCTAGACCCATTGTTTACTTTCTTTTGTTAAAATGTGCTAAGTGGTTTTCATTAAATAATTAATTTAGTTTCCAATATATTATTCTAGAAAATCAATAAAAAACATGTGCTATCTAATTAAAACAATAGTTAACGACCAATCGACGTTAATAGGTGAAATTGCTGATTGCGAGAAACATTTACTGTTCCCTTCTTTACGCTACATTGTGCACACTTATACATGTACACATGCAGTATATTTTTTGCGGTCGATATTATGAATGATAATCACAAAATAAGTTAAACAAACTGTTACACATGACTTGACACAAGTGTTTGACGCCGTCGTATGTTAAAATATACAATGATAACGTATATTTTGGCAATAGAAAAGAATTATGAAGTTCATCCCACATACGGCTACTAAAAGGCTTTTTTTCTCGGTCCATTACGTAATAATAACATTATTTATAATTATGGTATCATCAAATTTATCATTGTCACTGATATAAGCTTCATTCCGCCTTTGTCATTCGATTTCATTATAGTCATTCAATTATGATTACATCAATTATGATCATGCTTCTATATTCGTCGTTTGTAAACATCGGCGTTTACTTCAGGAAATTGAGGGTAGTAAATGCTATAGAACGACGAAGGTTTCAGATTATATGGTAGCTTTGTGACTGGCGAACTCTCCTATTAACAGATTGTTGAACATTGAATTGACTGTAAAACAGGGATAGATTTTCCAATGAAACATTGTATGACCTATATAATTAATATAATTATTTTATTTTAGCTTTTACTTAGAATATATATCACATTTGTTTAGATTCAGTCTGTAACATGTTCTGTAAAATAAACATTAATTTAGCATCTGTGATCGATTTTTTCATACAAAGTTTATAGCTTTAAGTCGTATAATCACCACAACTTCATTAGAAATATAGTAGATATCATACACAGTGATTTTTATAAAGTGAAAGTATGTCCTCGTTTAGTTCAGTAATATTAGTTTTCATAACAATTATTGATGAGATTCTGAAATAGCTTTGTTTAGAAGTGCACACCCTTGAACAACATGATCTTCAATTTTACTTTTCGATTTTATTCTGACAGTATTTAGTTCAATGTCATTACTTTTTCTACTCAAAATAACCACTATACAAAGTTGATAAATAAGAACATGATCTGTGCGTGTGATTTTTCAATTGAACGGAAGATGAACGTTACTTAACTCCTGAGGGAGACGTACCACTATTTTAACGAAGAAAAAAGGTAAAGAATTTGATGTTTCATACTCAAGCCCGTGAAAATTGTTTAGATTGTGTGTACAAGCGATATAATGATTTATCCATATATATATATCTTTTAATAAGAAACGGAAAAAGAAGAAAAGAAAGAAAGAAAGAAAGAATGAAATTCTCTCTCGTTCATTCTATCAATTATAATTTTGTTTGGTTGTTCGATAAATTCTTCTTTTATTCCCTCTTCCTCCTTATTCGCACGCGGTTTGAATGCTAACTCGACGTTTTTTTTTCTTATAGATACTCTCACCTATAAAAGAGAAAAGTATCATAGTAATCGCTATGCATCGATTAGAGAGAAAAAAGAAACATCATCCATAACAACTTAAATTTCTTCCTTCATCCTTTTTTTTTTTAAACTCGAAAAATTTCATTTTTTTTTTCATTTCAAAAAAAGGAAAAGAATATATACATTTATTCAGCATATATTTGTGAAGTGTCATGTGTATTCCTCATTTGTCCTCACCTGTACAGTCTCCTAGATTCACATACATGAAAAAACAAAAAAAATTTCTTATTTCGTTAATCTAAAAAACTGTAAGTCGTAGCATAGGTCAGCCGATGTAAAAGTAACCGAGATAGTGATTCATCACAAAATATAGGAGGCGATAAATTGAATAATTGTAGTGCAACGATTTTAACTTTTATTAATCGAAGCAAATGTCTGAAAAACATTTTTCTCTCTAGTGAAAGTTTATAAATTTTATATATTTAAAGTTTAATTGACTTTCATTTCAAGTCAGATTCATTTCTGACTAAAACAAATACGTGTTTTAAGTTACGTTGACATTTACGGTCACTATAAGACAATATGAAGTTTGATAAGTCATTTTTTTGTTCTATGACTCGAACAACGAATGAACATTATGATTTTAAAAGGGATTTATATTCTTCTTTTACAATTTTCGTTTTATTCCTTGTTTTTCAGATATCAACTATTTTCGATGTGTTAGCAAATATTTTCCTTGTCTTACAAAACTTAATTCTCTTCATGTTTTTTAGAAGTGTTTTTTATTCATGAATTTATTTAAATGAGAGAATATAAATTGGTTGTCCTTGGCAGTGGTGGTGTAGGAAAATCTGCCCTAGTAAGTGAAACATCTTTTGTTTCTACTATATTTGACGAGCAGTTTGCTCTTCGTGAAAACAATCATTCATCTAATTCTACCTGATACATACCTGATACATTTTTAGAGTTGATAGATAGTCTCTTCTTTCTATTTATCTGACAGATCTATTTATCATCGCTGAATTACAGAAAATATACTGAAGTTATTACTTCACATCTCATTCTGTTTTTATGGTAGATTAGATTGAAGACCATCTAATTAGACATGTACTGAGACCAAGATTCTCGATCTCAGTCGGTCTCGGTCGAGAGTTTTGTGTCTCGGTTTTTTCTGTTTGTCTTCTCAAAAAATCTTTCATATCTTTGGCTGACTCATCTTAAGATCGAAGACATTTGTTGTCATCAAAATTCAAAATACGCTAATTCATGAGATTTGGAAAAAAAAGAATCGAGATCCAAGAGTCTCGACTATGATCCAAGAAGACCGCGACCGATGGAGACCGAGAAATATGCCTAATTCTAATTCATAATATCTCTCTACTCGCAAAAACTATGAATTGAAATTTTTGAACATTTTTTTTGATTTTTTCTTCTCTTGCTTTCAGAAATAGAACTTTTATGTTTTTGTTCTGGCAGAGTTTATATAAACTACTTTTCATTCTTTAGACCGTTCAGTTTGTACAAGGAATATTTGTTGGAAAATATGGTACGTATTTTTTTATTTAGTGTAGTATTAAATAAATTTTATAGTCTCTATGATTCTCTATTGATCTTTTTAGATCCGACGATCGAAGATTGCTATAGAAAAGTAAGTGTACATAAAAAATTAATGCATTCAAATCATTGCAATTTATTTTTAAACAGCAAGTTGAAATTGATGGACAACAATGTGTTCTAGAGATTCTTGATACAGCAGGGACAGTATGTATTTCACCATTGAACCCTAACGTTTTTTTCTAAACTAATCAAATTAAATTTTATGTAGGAACAATTTACGGCAATGAGAGATCTTTACATGAAAAATGGACAAGGTTTTATTTTGGTGTACTCCATAACATCTCAAGCAACATACAATGACCTCATGGATTTAAAAGATCAAATTATTCGAGTAAAAGACACAGGAACTGATGTTCCGATGGTTCTTGTAGGCAACAAAAATGATTTAGAAGACGAACGTGTGGTAGGAAAACAGAACGGAGAGGCATTGGCTCGAAGTTGGGGATGTACATTTTTAGAAGCATCAGCAAAATTACAAGTAAATGTTAATGAGGTAAGTACATACCATAAAATAATATAACTTGATCATGTACAAAAATTTATTGTTTGTTTATGTATTTTGTTTCATTAGATATTTTTCGATTTAATACGTCAGATAAATAGAAAAATTCCCCGTACACGTCCAGCAAAAGCGATGTCAAATCAGAATTACGATAAAAATAATCAGACATCAGCACAAGCAGCACAACCTTATTCTAGATACAATTCTGGAAAAGATTGTTGTATTTTATTGTGATTTTTATTACTTATTCAACTGTAAAAATATTATAATATTCCTACATTATTCTCCTGCATAAAATATCTACCGATATATATAGGGAAGACATTCAAGGACAAGAATTTTCCATTTTATCTAATTTTTTAGCATTCATACAACAAATATTCTTCCTGGTGATATGATTGTTAATGTGTCTATACCCTTTCACCTTCAAGCGATTATCTGTTACAACTGTCTGTTCTTCCTTTATCATTCGGTTATACTCAATTCAAATGCTCTAATCACAGCATTCACTTATAGTGCAAGGTGACTATTAAGTTTTGCAATATCGTTGAACATTCCGTACTTAAGATTTTTTGTGCAATTATTTCTGTATGTGTTATGTTTTTTACCTTTGTTATCAATGTATATTTATGATAATAATAATAATACGCAAATACTTACTGTAAAATTATAAAAATTAACTTCTGGTACTCCACTGTATAGTAAATGTAATTTGGTTCATTCATCCGACCATATATGGTTGTTACGAATAGTCAAGATAACAGAAACCTAATTAAAAAACAACATTTTTTCCTCAAAAATTGCAGAAAAATAGTATGAACGAAACAATTTTTGTAATACAATTCTTTCTATTTGGATATGTATGTGTGTTAACCGTTTCAAATGTTATGGCAAGGCGACGACGGTATTTATGTATTATAATTTATCTCAGTTAGTCTTTCTACATTTATTATCCCAGTTACGAGATTATTTATTTTGATATGCTGCACAAAATTCTATACATACTGCGTGTGTTAAGAGCGAAACGACCTTCTATTTTTTTTATTCTTATTATTATTTTATCGTATCACTTTTTTTCACCATCCTCATCAGATACACTAATATCGTTCGTTTATCCGTAATACACTTACTTGCAAAAACTTGAAGGTTTTTTGGTTTGTATTTATGTTTATCAGCCTTTGTTTCAATATCAGATACACTATTATGAAATAAAATCAAAAATTACCTCATCCCTACTACTCTATTTTGATATTTCCATTTTTTTTCATAAAAAGTGCAAAAAATTCTACTAACTTATTAAACATTTTAGATTTATTTGCATCTTTCTTTTATATAAATGAAAGAATACAAAGTAGTCATCTTTGGTTCTCCATCTGTGGGAAAAAGTTGTATTACTCTTCAGTTTGTTCAAGGAAAATTCATCACGAAATACGATCCAACAATCGAAGATGTCTTCAGAAAAGTAAAACTAGTAGTAACGTGTGCATAATGCAAAATTAAAGCAAAGTTTTATTTTTGAACTTAATATATATCATTGGATAGAGAGAGCATTTCGAGCTGATTAAGAAAATAGATTTTTGAATTTTTAAAAAGATTTTCGCGGGTGAAAAATTGGAAATACTGAAAAAGTCAAAAAATCCTTCAAGTTCAAAAAAAGCTCAATATCTGAGTTCCAGACAACTATACAAGTTTCAAAATATTTTTTTCGTATGGAACATTGAAAACTGAATGGAAAAATGGTGTTCGATCAATTTCATAGTTAAAAGCTTGATCAGCGTGGACGCTCTAACCACATCTTCTGAAGTGCAGGCAAGGGATTTTGTAAGCCTATCTAATTTTTCGTGTTAAGGGCTGAAGCTGTCATTTGCGCATCATTAGATTCGCTGAAAGCCTGGCTCCAAAAATATGACTCGCTTCGTTGCTGAGAAAATTCATTTTTTCTAAATCAGAGGTGAAAAAGTCGTAATTCTGCCCGTAATTCTCAATGTTCTCAATCAGAACTCAATTTTTAAGCAATAAAAATATCATATTTTGAATCAGGATCAAAAACTGAGTCCATTATTCTGTATTTCTATCCTATCTGACTAATTTATTTTTTTCGAATTTTCACATTGAAAAATTACCGAGATTTTTATCCAGCATTGAAAATCAGCTAAAAGTCTAGAAATAGAAAATAATCGACTCAGTTTTTGATCCTGATTCAGAATATGATATTTTTATTGTTTAAAAGTTGAGTTCTGATTGAGAACATTGCGAATTACGGGCCCTAATGATGTGCAAATGACGGCTTCAGGCCCTAACACGAAAAATTAGATAGGCTTACAAAATCCCTTGTCTGCAATTTAGAAGATGTGGTCGGAGCGTCCATGCTGATCAAGCTTTTAACTTCGAAATTGATCGAACATCATTTTTCTAAAAAAAGAAAAAAATATTTTGAAATTTGTATAGTTGGCTAGAACTAATAACAAACTAACTAAAAAATACATTTTCTTAATCAGCTCAAAATGTTCCCAATGATCTATAATAAGTTCAAAAATAAAACTTTGCTTTAATTTTGCATTGTGCGCACCTTAAAAAGAAGATAAATACACTTTTTTCATTAACGTTTAAATTATTAAATAAAAAGTGCTAGTATCGATTGTTTTTATAGTAGAGAACTACCTGAAAAGTTCATTTTTTGTTCAAAGGAGATTGAAATAGATGGAGAACGAACCATACTTGAAATTCTTGATACTGCAGGAACAGAACATGCTTCATGTATGCGAGATTTATACATGAAAAATGGTCACGGTTTTATCATGGTTTATTCCATTGCATCCAGTTCAACATTCAACGATTTAATTGAACTAAAAGATAACATAACCAGTATAAAAGGCACAACACATGTAAAAAGTGCAATTTTTTTATAAATCAAATGTCTACGATAAACTTTTAGGTACCAATGGTGTTAGTAGGCAACAAAATTGATCTTGAAGAAGACAGAGTCGTTGGTCAAGAAAATGGAAAGACACTTGCTCGAAGTTGGAATTGTACATTTTTAGAAGCGTCGGCAAAATCTCGAGTAAACATTAAGGAAGTACGTTATGTATATTTATATTTATCAAAAAAGATTTAGTACTAAGTATAAAATTTTCACATCTCATTATTCCGATAAAATGAGTTTATGTGAAAATATGATCCTGTTAATATTTACCCTCTCACTTTATTCTATATGTATTTTAGATGTTTTTTGATCTTATATATCAAATAACTCGTAATAACGAAGAAGACAATGCTATAAGAACATCCAAAAACAAACGACCAACACAGCTTCGATCAAAAGCCCCTAATTCTGAACCACGTCTCTGTTGCGTTTTATTGTAATTATATATATTTACTCTTTTCTTTGAACTAAAGTAAAATTTTGTACATTTTATTGTTTACACTGTAGAGTAGAGATGTAGAGGAAACAGAGAAGCTAATTGTCTCTTAATTTATTGAATCATCTTCTTTCTCGTTCAAGATATTCTACAACCAAGCATTTTTTCCCATCGGTTTCACTGGCGATCAGCGCTGGGACCCTTTGAGAAACGGCGAACCGCTCCGGTTCGGCCTATCTGAAAGTGTAAGAGGATCGGTACGGCCGGTAAACTGCCCGGTTGGAATTATAACTCAAACCGGTAAAATACCGGTGAAAAACGGTCGAAGTTTTTTTGAAAATCGATTTTCAGAAAGAATTTCCCCCAGAAATGAAATAGTTTGCAAGCACATGTGAGAGAACCTTCACAATAACGAGTCTATAACATTTAACCTTAAAACAAATGATGAAAATAATATCTGTCTTGAACATCGTGTTATTTATTCTGACTGAAAAACACGTGAAATTTTAGTTTTTTTGACGAAAAACGGGGTAAAAACAGCTGATTTTTCAAAAGTTTACCGGCCTCTACCGGCCCGGTTGATTTTTTCATTCTGTCCGGTACCGGTCAGACCGGACCGGTTCCAGCTCTGCTGGCGACTGATTATAGAAATTTTAGTTGTAGAGCACATTGATCTTGTCTCGGCACCTTTCCGTCCAGTATAAACTAAAAGACACAGACTGGATTAAGTTTTAGTATATAGAATAGGGATGTTACTCCTAATATTTTATTTATATTGTATGATTATTTTACTATATTATAATAAGAAATATAAATGATTTTATTTTATTTTGGTTAATAGCTCTGTTAGTTATGCTTTTTATTCTGTAATTTATTTAGAAATTGAGGTTCAGATAGGTTATCTAATTCGTTTTATTCATTCTACTGGGGCTAGTTTATTGTTTATACGTATTTATATTCATATTGGTCGTAGGTTGTGATTTAAATCAATGTTGATTGTGAGTGTTTGGGAGGTAGGGGTTTTAATCTTTGCTTTGATAATGGCTGTGTCTTTTTTGGGTTATGTGTTACCTTGAGGTCAGATGTCTTTTTGAGCAGCCACTGTCATTACTAATTTGTTGATGGTTGTTCCTTATATTGGATTGGATTTAGTTGAGTGAGTTTGAGGTGCATCTAGTGTGGGGGGGACCTTTATTATCTCGTTTTTTTGTTCTTCATTACTTGTTTCCATTTGTTATTTTATTTTTAAGTATTTTACATTTATTGTTTCTTCATGATGGGGGTAGAAGAAACCCCTCAGGTGTTTCGGCTTGAGGCTTGGGTAAGGCTTGGCAGACTTGGGTCTCGGACTCGGGTTAGGCTCCACCTTGGTAGGCTTGGACTCGGAAAAGGTTGGACTTGGCTTGGGCTTGGAAGAAAAATTTTACAAAATATGGAGTAACAAAGCCGTACGTTGTTCTGAACGATAGTTTTTCAAAGAGCCGCATTATATTCCAAAATCTTTGAAAGTAGGACTTCTAGAAAATCGTGGTTTTGGGTGTATAGGAGTTGAATAAAGTGACTTTTAAAAACCATTGTTAAGAGATGGAACATTATGAAGGTGATATTTGGATTCAGCGTTGAAAGAAAATTAAATTAGAGACGAAGAGGTCAGAATTCTGCTCGTATTTTTCAATTTTCTCCAACAGAATTCAACTTTTATGCAATAAAAATATCATATTCAGAATCGGAATCAAAAATCGAATCGAATGATATGTACCTCTATCGTATCTGAGTACCTTAAATTTTTTCAAATTTTCACGTTGAAAAATCATCGAGGTTCTCAACAAAAAACTGAAAATGAAGTAAAAGTCCCGAAATACATATCAGCCGATTCGATTTGTGGTTCTGATTCTGAATAGGATATTTTTGTTGCATAGAAGTTGGGTTCTGTTGGAGAAACTTGAGAAATACGAGCAGAATTCCGATCACATAATACGGGAGCATTGTCAAACCCGTACGTTTGTTTAGTTTTTAATGCTCTATCAAATGGCGTTTGAACCAAGTTTCAGTCTCTTTTCTGAGCTGAGTTATTTCAATTTTAGAAAAAGATTTAAATTGAAGTCAAAAATTGAAAGTTTGACTTGGAAACGTGATTTTTTTTTCAAAATATTCGTTTTTCAATACTGAATCCCAATATCATCTTCAAAATGTTCCATCTCTTAACGGTGATTTCTAAAGTCATTCCATTCAACTCCTATACGCCAAAAACCACGGTTTCCCGGAAGCCCTACTTCCAAAGGTTTTGGAGAAAACTTTTTAGAGACAAAAGGAAAGAGGACATTGTGAAATCTCTAAACCTTGAGTTTTAGAACACTATATGCACTGACGTAGAAGTTAGCCTAGACCAACTTTCTTGTGCAAGACGCCTATTGCGCATTCTAGCAACTTTAACTGATCGACATATAATAGATTATGTTTATCTTATGTAGAAAGTAGAGGCATAGATATAGTATATATTTCAGAAAAATGTGACTAATCTTATGTGATTTGCTCTCATTGATTCTCATTGAAGAGCAGATAAACAACAAAAATTAGTTTTTCTCTCGGTAGAAAGAGTAGTATATAACTTTTTTACCGAAACAGTATATCTCCGCTAATGATTCGTAATAAAGCATCATTGATCACGTGAATTGGTCACGTGAATAATACAGAAACGCTAAAAATAAGAACTGAATTTTTGTAGTTATATTTGAAATTATAACATTGTGGTGACTATTAATGTCCTCTTTTTATCGACCTAAGATTTATTGCTTGTCGTGATGGTGCATTATAAGGCTAGACTGCGTAATTCAAGTACGTTTACATCCATAAGGTAGTTTGCGAGCAAGAATATGATTTTTTCCATAGACTTATTTGAGGTACAATCGTCTACATATATGAATCAATGATCAAAATTAATTTTCGGGTAGCATACAGTTAAAGTATCAACTACATCAGCCTCAACGCAAACTGCTTCATACTGTCAATAAAAATAAATTTATTATTGTTATTGATCGATTGATCATTCGTTAGAGTACTTAAATATCTATATGATATATTTCGATGAATTGATATAAGTTTTAAGAGGTCTTGTTAAACAAAAGGAAACTATTCATCATGTAGATCTAGTTCAAAGATTCATAAATATTTATCGATGAACAACGTGTGAAATCTGTATTTATTGCAATCGATAGACGTACAATTGTCACTAAATATAAGAGAATAAAATCAACAACTGCTGATAGCACGAAGATCCATGATGTCACTGTTTGACATTAGCATTTTTGACGCATAGCGTGAGAGTATCATCGTATATCTCTGTGCCTTTGCTAATAGAAATCCTCCTTTGCAAATGAGTTTTTTTAATTTTTCGGCTAGAATTTTAAAATTTTATCCATTGAATTTCAACTGAGTTGACCTATATCTGAAGTGCATAATCGACCGAGAAACAAAACAAGAAAAAGATCTTTTGATTCTCGCTTTGACTATAGTGAATGAATATTTTATTTAAAACGTGACTTCTTCTAAATTGTCGAAGTATTTTTATTTGGAACAAAGTCAATATTTGTGATCTAGATGAAAATTTGAATTGAGCAGATCAGTTGTTTTCGCTTATTTCTCTGATCTTTGAAAGACCAACATGTACCTGCGACATTCTTTCTATTCTTTTTCGTTTGGTATTCACCGATGGAAAAGAAGTCCACCGTTTCTTTTTTTGACTATTTCTTGAATTCTTATTTTCGGCTAAAAGAAGTCAACGACTTTACTGAGTAAGTGTTTTTAACGAACCGGCGATGTGGCTTGTTACTGAGAGTTTTTCTCTAGTTATTATGGAAAAGAGTTTAATCTAATATGATTACGTTCGTGAATGTGATTCTATCATGTGTATGATTACGAATGTTCGGTTCGCGGTAACGATTCTCGAGCTAGAACCAAAACGAAAAGAACTGCGGTTTTCGGTTCTCAGCTTAGAACCAGAAAAGAATTTTTCAGGCAGTAACCATTGGACGACATACAATTGCTATCATTTAAGACAATCCTTTTGTTTAGCATAAAATAAATTCCATTTCATGCAAAAAAAGTTGCGCACAAGCGTACCTTATGAACGCTCAACATAGTTTTCTGAAAATAAAACTGTAGTATCTTTGATAAAAAAGTCTCGGTTCCAAAAAAAAAGAACCGTCTAAAAAGTCGCGGTTCCATCGTCAGAACCGGAAGCATGGTTTTAATTCCCGATCAAGAACCGAAAATAAGAGAACCGTGGTTCTGGTTCTTAATGAAAGCCGAGAACCACACATCTCTATATGTGCTAAGTAAACGTACTAAAGATAAATTTTTATGTTCGAAATCTGGAATAAAAACGGATCAGCAGTCGAGTATTTGTACAGTTATGACGAGTAGTACTTGTTGAGATTCCAGCGTATTAAACGATGGCTGTATATATGAGATTCATCCAGTACAGACGAGCAATAGTTTTCTCTCTCTATACGTACCATTGCTTTTGTCTAATATATATGGACAATTTTCTATGATGGAAAATAACAGATTTCAGAAATAAACCAAAGTCTTATACAGTGATTATTCTCTATAGAAATTTTGAGTTTTTCTAAAAGCAGCGCATGACTAGATTGCTTCTACTTGTCTTTTTCAGATGTTTAGTGTTATCTACGAAAAACATTGTGTTGTAGCTACTTTAAACGGAGAAAGTAAGCCTCATTTATTTATAAAAGAAAGAAATTTAAGTATTTTTAATTTTATGCACTATTATTCCTTAGATCATGCCCTAGAGATCAAATCTTATATAGGATTCCTATAGAAAACTTATAGAATCAGATAAGAATATTATAGAAATCTTATGCTACAGTTGATAGAAAGACATACTGTACTTATAAGATTCTTATGTAAGAAACTTATAAGATTCCTATAAAAATTTATACAATTCTTATAAAAAAAAAAAACATTTTTGTTGCCTGGAGGGCTAGGGCAAAGTTTTGAACTTTGAAATTTTTGAACATTTTTTATAAGGCACCCTAGTGAAGCTTTTTTTCTCAAGCACATGGCTTTCTTGAATTTCTTGAGTAAGAATCTCATGGCGTGGAGACATTTCTTACTCATGCAAAACGCATTTTTTCCGATGTCATGTGCTTGACTTTCTTGACTCATGCGCTTGAGTTTCGTATCTCAAGAAACTCATGCGCATGAGATTCTTACCTCAGGCGCTTGAATTACTCATGCGCTTGACTTTCTTGAGCCAAACTTTTCTGTCTTGTCTTTTTTATCTGCTTTGACCAATGAAAATCGAAATTTTGATTTCGTTCTTTCAATGTGAATATATAGAAATGACTGGACATATCTGTGTAAATGGGATATAATTGTGCTAAATTTCCGGGATCAAAAATGTAAGTGTCCTTCGAATATGAACATTAAAATTCAGAAGAATGTTTAAGAGAGATGTTAACTTGAAGGTTAAAGCTGACGAGGAAAGGCCCCCAACTGTCAAATCGCTTTTGAACGGAAACTCAGTAGACAATAGGTAATCGAGGCTGCTGAATCCGAATATCACAACCGTTTGTGCCAATGTTGGGTTTTTGAGCCGTTTTTCTGTAAAACCAGATCTTCAAAAACTCTAAAAAATAACCAAAGCCTTTTCTTGATGATGCATAATTATAGTCCGCACATTTCTGATTACATAGTCTTATGAGCTGACAGGGATGGCATATCATAACACCTCCCCGGCCAAACAAAGATGGCCAGGGAGGAAAAATGACCGCGGTTTTCTTAATCAGTTTTAATTAGTTATAAAATAACACACCTGATCCCGTGAAAAGCGTACCGTAAAAAATAGAGAAATATGATCCGTACTATGCATGTAATCGGTGATTGACTCGGCGTCAGAGCTTGTAACTCGGCGGCTGATCTCGACGAATCAGAGTTTGTGATGATGTATGATGCTTTGAATTTAAATATATATCCAAATGTCCGACACTATGACAGGGCAAAACGCACCTAGAAAACGAAATTATCAACTTTTGCCTGTATTATCAAACATCTGTAGAATACTCTTCAAGAGTATACCGCCTCTCTCCTCGATTTCATTGATACAGCTAATGCCTGCAAATTTTACGTTGTTATAGCCCTCATTGAATGTCTCTGGCTACACCACGAGCTGAAGACTAACTTATCATCCATATTAACACTAAAAGTACTGTTATTCTGTGTTTCAAACTTTCTACCTCAAAAGACATCAGAAAGAGCGGTTTTTATTTTCTGGATGTTGATTAATGGATTTTCAGAACTAGTTAATCTTGAAACTTTGGATAAATAATCTGCCGATATAGTAAAGAGTATTTTGTGAAATTTCGAGGTCAAAAGGCTCGCCTGAGTTGTAGTTTTTTCGTTTATTACTCTTTCTGTATGGGGTGGGATCATACTTTAAGTTCGTCAATACTTTGAGAGGTGTCAGCAAATGGTAGATAAATACGGATACAAGGAGGACGCCGGAAAATATAGATGTTCACGCTACTTTGTTTAAATTTATGGGTATTTGGGAATTCTTCGCAATTTTTGGATTATGGATGCTAGCAAAACGTTTGATTGGGCCATTCTAAGCGCGGTCAGAACTATAATTATTGTCCTTATTGATTTTTAGAGAAATGAAGTATTTTTCGTTCTCAGAAAATGCTTGGACATTATCGTGTGAGTAAGGGTCGTTTAAAGTTATCAGTTTATTTCTTACGAAGAAATCAAATAATTGTAACTACTCCTAATGATAATTTCTATCTACTGGCAAAAAAATTGTTTTAGACAGAAACAACTCTGCTCTATCAAACAAACCTTGTGATCTAGTACTGGCTTGATCAGAAGAGAGATTCGGGTGAGGATAGGTTAAGATCGTCCTACACATCTCTAATATGCTTTCCATCAGATAACAGCATTTCATACTGGAGTAGAGATTTATTTTCGATTAGTATTAAGCTAATTGTGATGTAAACACAACATAAATCTGTATTTGTGAGACAACGAAAAATATATATTTGCTTTATATCAATTATAAAGAGTTTGTTTGTATTTCTGATCCGAACTTTTTAATACAATGTATATACGCACCTTATCTGATTTATGTCTTTATAGAGTTTACAGAAATTTAATGACATGGTCTGTGGACCGGTGAAAAAAGTCTCGTATTTCGTGCATGTTTCTTGCGTTGGAAAAACGCAATTCATGGATTGAAAGTTGTAAATCAAGATTCTAAAATCTGTTTCTCTTTTGTGGATTCTTCCTGCCGTTATTGAGATCTCTCCTATTTTACATTATAGAGGGTGCTCTTTTTACAGATGTCTCAGTAACCGTATCACTAGCAAAAATCCCAAAAAGAGAAACAGATTTGAGAATCTTGATTCAAACTCTATTTCTGTAGAACTTTTATCCCATCAACTGCGTTTTTATAACGCAAGAAAAGTGGACGAATTAAGAGACTTTTCGGTCCGGTGTAAAATAAACATAAAACCATAAGGGAAGTAGAGAGCACTCGTCTCCAACCAGTGGAAATTTTAAATATACAATATTTTTCATTTTTGCAAAAAAAATGTTTTTCTGAAGAACGAAAGACCCAAAACAATGACTTTTCTGGAACCAGACGGAGACAGGTAAGCATCATCCTCTCTCCCTGATAGGTACACCTCTGAAAACGATAAATAAAACATAAATTATACGATCTTCGGTTGATTTGTAAATAAAAATGTAAATCGCTGAACTGTCTATAATCGACGTTAATTAGGACTAATTAATGATTAATCTATATCCCAGCATGGCTTTTTCTGAAATATCTTAAATACGATCGTAACTAAAAATGATTCTCGATCAAAGTACACTAGGATCACGTTTGTATCATTAGTTTTGAGTAAACAGTTAAGTTTTTAAAAAAAAAACCAGCAATTAAATTTTTTACTAAAATTTTATCTTAATTAATTTATAACTCTGTGAATGTTTATCGGCTCGTCGAAAACAATGCAAGTTATATGCAGTCAAGTATTCTCTACAATCTGAGAAGGTTTAATAGTACCTTTTTGTGGTGATCCGCCCCTGTTAGACACGCTAGAATATCATATGAAAGCGGATTACCACGAAAAAACGTGCAAAAAAGAGGTGAATAAGTATATTTAGAGTGAGCAAATAAGGCAGAAAGAATTTTAGCTTCTCTTCCTAGATATAGACAGATTAGGAAAAAAGGACTCGATAATACTGTTCAATACACAATGTTTAAACCACTATGTCTAAACAAGATTTGAGTGTATTTAGCTAGATTTCGTATTTTCTAATCTCATTTCAAGTTTGTTACTTTGCAAAAATATATTTCTTAATATATTTTTGAATACAACTCGACCGTGGAAAATAAGCAATTAGACAAATATGACTTTTTCTATCGTATCCACTATTCTCTCGGTGTAGAATAGAGAATTAAAAACTTCTTAGAATTTGATACTTTGAAGATTTCCTTTGTGTAATAGTCATGTTAGATAAACGTCCAGACGTCAGTCGTTTCTAAATCTGCCAAAGCAGGAATTATAATGCATTTGTATAAATAAATACATTAGTACCTTTCAACTCCATTCTGCTAATGTGTTTTATAATACTTTTCTCAGGGATAGTTTAAAGTTTTGCTCACATAAATATTGAAAATCGAAAACATACCTGTCTGTTGGTTCATAGTTTGTTCTGGCGAGGAACAGGCTCGTTTTGAAGTATTTTGTTGCTAATGGTACTGTGTAAATGTGAGCCTGACAAAGATCATTCTGATAATCACACTGAATATTTAACTTCATTAGATGTTGAAATGACAATGCCAGACAGGAAAGATCGAGAAAACTGGTCACGTTTACATGAACAACGTTGTAATGGAATGTTTTCAATTGAGGTAATCCCGACAGGAGATGTTCGATCTGATAGCCGTTTATAATTCTGTTACTCCGAAAACATGTGTACGATAGAAATTTGAGATTAG